TGGAATCTTTAGAAGCAAATTTCGCAAAAAAAACTGCACAAAGCAAGAAAGTGATGAATATTTTTGGACCTTACACTTGGCTCTACTTTTTATATAGATCCAGATTTAGACCATAGTCTAAGCACACATCACTTTACCATACTCGCTATGATAGCGATAATTTTAAAATGAAAATGGTCTTTTTGATAAGAGCATTAATTTTCAGGTCCTTATGGAAGTGGAAGCAATGACAGACACTTTGGAAGCACAACAAGACCAGGAAGTGAACCTTCAGGTTTGTCCGATTATTCAGTACCCCTTCAATTTTTTACGATCATGAAAAATTAGACGGTGAAAGGTTTCAGGATGTGTTCGATGTTGCTGTTGGGTCAGTGATAAATCAACTTTTGTTTGGCTATCGTTTCGATGAGGTAAATTTTACACGGCTCTAAGACTTTTTTTTTACATATGAATCCTTTTCGAATTTTTCGGAAGCAATAGATCGAATCTCAGCTGAGAGGGAGAGGAGGGAGGAAAGATGAAAATATTTGAGCAGATCTGAATCGTTTGCAGGAGCATGTTGGAGAGTTCCGAGACCTAAAAACAATAATCTCGGCTCAAATGCGAGACTTTGCTCATCCGTCTGCTAGTATCGTATTCCTCTATCCATGGCTTGGAAAGCTACCGTACTTCAAAGATCTGCTCCAAACGTGGGTTTGCAAAATCTTTTGATTTTAAATGACAATTATTTGTTCTTTAAGGCTGATAAGCTATCGTGACAGATTCTACTCATTTTTCGACAAACAAATCTCAGAACATAAGAAAAATATGAACTACGACACAGATGAAGCGCATGATTATGTGGAGGCATATTTGAAGGAGCAAAAGCGAAGGGAGGCTGAAGGAGATGAGGAATCTTTCAGGTAATAGAAAAAGTTCCAAAAATTTTCTATATGAGGAAATATTGCTTTTAGCCATATCCAGTTAACTAATGTTTGCTTGGATTTGTGGTTTGCTGGCATGGAAACAACATCAAATACGCTTTCCTGGGGTGCAATATATCTCCTAAATCATCAAGATGTTCAGGTGAATCCCCTTACAGAGTCTGC